TTATTTCAAGGTTTTCTCTTTATTTTTTTTTATCGCCCTAACTATTGTGTGCCCAGATATGGTTTTCTTTGTATTTATCCTGCTGGGGATTTTATGAGATTCTTTTATCTGTAAGTTATTTGTTGTTGTTGTTGTTGTTTAATCAAATTTGTGAGTTATTATTGATTATTTTTTCAAAACATTTTTGTGATTTAGTATTATTTTCTTTTCCTTCCACACTTGCTGTTCCAAATATGTTAAACTGTTTGAGGCTGTTTCACAGGGTTTTTTAAATTTTTAAAAATTTCTTCTTCTTCTTCAGATTGGGTAATTTCTGTTGATGTGTCTTCAGGCTCACTGCTCTTCCTTGCACTTGCTGTTCCAAATATGTTAAACTGTTTGAGGCTGTTTCACAGGGTTTTTTAAATTTTTTAAAATTTCTTCTTCTTCTTCAGATTGGGTAATTTCTGTTGATGTGTCTTCAGGCTCACTGCTCTTCCTTCTTCACTCTGCTGTGAGGTGTACCCAGTGTAGTTTTAAATTTCAGCTGTTGTATGTTTCAGGTTTGGGATTCCCATTTTTTTTAATAGTTTCTGTCTCACTGCTGTGATTCCCTTTCTATTCACTCTTGAAGATACTTTTCTTTAATTCTTTGAACATGGTTTTCTTTGATTCTTGATTCTTGGAATGTATTTATAATAGCTGCTGAAAGTCATTGTTTGCCAAGTCCAAACCTTGACTGTGTCAGTTAGTTTCTATTATTATTATTTTTCTTAATAGCAAATTACATTTTTCTGTATCTTTTTATGTCTGGTGATTTTTGATTTTATATTGGAGATTGTAATGATACATTTAAGGACCCTGAGTTCTGTTATCTTTTTCTGACTACTGATTTTTGTTCTTTCAGTCAAGTACGGTTGGTCATCTTGAGCTTGTGCAGTTATTGTTCAACCCTGTACTGGGGTGCATCTGTGGAAAGCATCTGTAATTTGTTAGTCTCTACATCTTGGTGAGACTCAACTTCCAAATGGTCTTACCTGGAAATCTTGTCATTAATTGATTTAGGCTTTGTTAGGACAGGCCTGGAGTAGGTCTTACCCTGGGCTATGGTCCTCACAACTTAGGTACAGACTGTACAGAGTCTCCGCTGGGTGCTGGAGGAGTTCCACTCTCAATCCTGCAGCAGCTTCTGTCTGGTGAGCTTGTGTTGTTTTTTCCCTGAGCATGGACAGCCCTGCTCTGTTCCACAGATTCACAAGGAACCCTCACATACACTTATGGGCCTACTCTATACACAGATGCCTCCTTTCTGGCACTATGCTGCTCAGATTCTGGGTGCTTCAACTGCCCAACCACAGATCTCTCCTTCCTCAGCACAGTAGGGCCACTGTATTTTGCTCAGACTCCAGCTGACTGCACTGCATTTGGGGACCTGGCTCCAGGTGGAGAGCCGGGAAAATGTGAAGCTCGTCTTGTAAGTTTCCTTTCTCTCAGGAATCGCAGTCTGCACTGTTTGTTGACCCCTGCCTGAAAATGAATGTCTCATGAATGAATCTTCTCCAGTCGTGTAGTTGGCAGGAAGGCTGGTCTCGTATCATTCTTTCCACCAGGTTCCCAGTTTTATTATGCTGTCTGTGTTCAGTTCTCATCCTTTCCTAAAGGCTCCTGGTTCTTGCAGTGAGTGTGTGCTTTGAGGAAGTCGTTGAGTTCCACTGATCTCTGTTTCAGTGTGGAACCATTAGAGAGGGGCTGGCATCAGGCAGGTGGAGCTGAAACCACCTGCTCATCACTGATAAATTTGGGCAGGTTTCCAAGTGTAACAAGCTTGAAGAAGGTACAATTAGTCATGAAGCTAAGGGCCAAACAAAAACAGAAGCCTCCGCGACAGACAGCTCAGTTCTAGGGGGCAGCCTGGAGGAAGCAAGCACAGGAAGACAGCAGCGTGCTTCTGTGTTGTTCTGACACCTGAGGCCCAGGTATAAAGTCCACCCAGGGCAGGAGCCTCTGGACATCACCACCCTCTTTCCCAACTCACACCCAGCCCCACAACACCATGTGTGACACCAGCTGTTCCTCAGGCTGCCAGTCAGCCTGCTGTGTGCCCAGCCCCTGCCAGGCATCTTGCTGTGTGCCTGCGAGCTGCAGGCCCACTGTGTGTGTGCCCATGAGCTGCCAGTCCTCCATGAGCTACAGGCCTACTGTGTGTGTGGCCCCCTCCTGCCAGTCCTCCATGAGCTGCAGGCCTGCTGTGTGTGTGCCTGTGAGCTGTCAGTCCTCCACGAACTGCAGGCCAGCTGTGTATGTGCCCATGAGCTGCCAGTCCTCTGTGAGTTGCAGGCCCGCTGTGTGCGTGGCCCCCTCCTGCCAGTCCTCCAGGTGCTGCCAGACCTCCTGCCCCACCCTGGTCTGCAGACCTGTCTCCTGTGGCTTCCCTTCCTGCTGCTGATCATGAGTCTCCAGACCAGCTGCTCCTGGTGCAGATGGGTCCACATCTGTACCCCTCCAGGAATGGGTCCTCACTTGGCCTCCAGATTTTACATGTGGGCAGATGGAAAGCCTGCTCAGTGAACCCTCTGAGCACTGGGGTGAGAATGTGGCAGAATAATCTCATTCCTCCCCAGCCCTGGGATCCCCCAGGGAAGTTCTGAGACTCCAGCAGGAAACCAAAGTCCATGTGAGCAAATAAAGCAGCTTTCCCCATGCAGCTCTGCCCTTCTGGTCTTTCTTTTTATATCTGTGCTTCCTGGCTGTCCATTCTGGTGATCACAAAGGATTTATGGCTAAACCCTCTTAAGCAATCCCTTTCCACAGTGGTTCATTGGGAGGTGGCGTCCCTCGTGGAGGGAGTGGCCTGAAGATGTTTCTATTGTCCTCCTCCAGAGGCTCCGTGGGCCCAGGTGCACGTGGCCTTATTCATCTGTGGTGGTGTGGTCTTGCCTCCCATGGCCATCCAGTTTGCTGCGGGCCAGCACTGCACTGATGGCCTCTGGGCACTGGGGACTGGGTTTCCTCTCTGGGTCAGAGGTAGTCCTGTTTCCTGTGCCACGGAGAGTTACTTCCAGCGGGGCAGCTCTGGACTCTGTTGGATCCCGGATTTACAGAACTGGATGATTAGTACTGCAATACACCTCCCATCACTGGTCCCTATACGGCCCATGTTTAATTGATTGATTTATGTTCAATTATTGATTACTATAATACTTCCGTGAACCCACTACCTGCCATAGGAACCAGGACATCAGTAATTGCCACCAGCTTCTAGGGACAGCCACTGTTGGAATTGCATGCTCCTTATTCTGTATTTTCTTTAAAAATAGGGTTGGATCATATCTGTATGTGTTCCTGAAGCACGTATTTTCTAATTTAGTGGTTTTCAGTGATATTAAAAGGGTCCTATTCTGAATGTAATCTTCCGGGACTTTTTTCACTCTATATAGTGTTAGTAAGATTCCTCTGCATTTTGGGTGGGTGGGCTTCATCTGTCCCCTCCCCAGAGTTGTGTTGTGACTATTTCAGTTCAATGTGCCCAATCAATGAGCAGGCCTGTTGTCCCAAGAGTGTGCTATTCCAGATGGCACAGCCTTCGGAAACGTCCCTCTGAGGACGTCCACACCACTGACTGCCTTGGATTCCAACCTTTTTATTTATGTCCTGGATAAATGATAGGTGATGAGCTGCAAGACTGGTTTTATAATCTTTTAGCCAAGGTGGTCTGGGACCTACTGTATTGCTTAAGTTGGGGGCTTTGGATAAAACTGAGCCAGAAATGGAACCAGTCAGTTGGACATGTTCTGTCAGACACATGAAAGTCCTCTGGTGTTCCAGGTTGGGAGCAGGAATTGAAACTGGAAATCCAGAGTATGAGAGGAAGGAAGGCTGGCAACCAAAACATGCTTCTGGAGAAGCTCCTATGAGCTAACAGGGCCCTGCTCAGCCCTCCCCTTGGAGCTGTGGGGCTCTAGGGGCTACTCCGAGCCCTTCCTCTGTGGTGCTAGTTTTCTACATCTGGCATAGGAGAAGCTCCTATGAGCTAACAGGGCCCTGCTCAGCCCTCCCCTTGGAGCTGTGGGGCTCTCGGGGCTACTCCGAGCCCTTCCTCTGTGGTGCTAGTTTTCTACATCTGGCATGTCTTAGGAAGCAGTTTGAGAACATGAGAAACCAAGGAACAAAATGAAAATCTGACAAACTTATTAATTTAGGAAAATGTCCAGATGAAAGGTCTGAACCTTAGACCATGCAAACCACCCCCCATGCCCACCCTAGACCCATTCACATAAGGAAAAGGGGATGAGGCAGCATGCATTGAGTCCAAAAGCACGTGAGACGTGGCTGCCTCAACCTACCGAAAGAAAATGCCAGAAACAGGAGGACAGCAGAAGGAGACAGCTCCATGCCCTGGCTGCAGCCACACCTGCCCCTGACCTGCATGGTCATCTGACGTCCTCACTGGACGGCCTACACAGAGGTGCTTGGGACACATCGAGTGTGGTGTCACATGGAAGAGGAGGGCCTGGGGTCCTGCTCTTCCCTGTCCCCAAGGGAACCACAGCCTGACAATGGGTGATGGCCTGCACTGGTGTGCTCGGGGAATGGCTGGAGAGCCTGTCAGCCTTCTGCTCAGATGAGAAGTCGTGCTGCTTCCCTCTGTGAGGGCTGGTCCCATGCACCTTGGTCATCAGAAGAGAGTGGTCTCAAGAGCTGAGAGCAGCAGCCTCCAGTTCGCCCTGTGCTGGCCTCAGCAGCCTCCATGGGTGCTGCATCCCAGGTGTGAGCCACCACAGTGGAGACAGCATCTGCGGCGAGGTGGGAGTGCCCACTGGCTCCAAGGACAGGCCAGCCTACCGCCTTTTATCCCATAAGCAACATTAGTGTATAGTTTTCTTATAATGCTTTTGTCTAATTTTGGTGTGACGTTTACGCTGGCCTTATAAATTGGGAAGAAATCCTTTCCTTCTCTTTTCTGGAAAAGTTTGTGTAGAATTGGTAGTATTTCTTCCCTAAATGTTTGATAGAATTTGCCGGTGAATCCACTTGGTCCCGAGGTTTTCTTTGTTGAAAGACATTTTAACTGAAAATTCAATTTCTTTAATAATAGATATGGACTATTCAGGTTATGTATTTCTCTCAAGTGAGTTTTCGTAGTTTTGCCTTTTAAAGAATCTGCCCATTTTATCTACGTTATCAAATTTATTGGTTTAAAGTTGTTTGAATCATTTCCTTATAAGGTTTTAATGACTGTAACGTCTGTAATGATGTCCCTTGTTTCATTCCTAATATTGGCATTTTGTGTCTTCTCTTTCTTTTTAACTTTCCTGATCAGTCTGGCTAGAGGTTTACCAATTATATTGCTCTTCTTTAAGAAGCACCTTTTGGTTTTATTAATTTTTTCTATAGTTTTTCATTTTCTACTTCACTGTATTTTGCTATTTTTTAAATTGTTCCCTTTCTCTTGCTTATTTTGAGTTTAATTGCTTTTCTTTTCTAGTTTAAGGTGCAAACAGATAATTGATTTCAGAACTTTCTTCTTTGCAAATATAAGCATTTAATGATAAAATTGTCTCTCTAAACACTGCTTTAGTCTTTTCATTTGTATTTAATTCAAAATACTTTCTAATTTCTCTTATGACTTTTTTGAAACATGCATTATTTAGAAGTGTGTTGGCTAATTTTCAAATATACAGAATTTTTTCAGCTATTCTTTTGTTATTAATGTCTAATTTAATTTCATCGTAGTCAGAGAACATATGTTATATTATTTCAATTCCTTTAAATTTGCTTAGGTTTATTTTATGCCATAGAATATGGTCTTTTTGGTAAATATTTATATGTGCACTTGAAAAGAATGTGTATTCTGTTATTGTTGGGTGGAGTGTTCTGTAAATATCAATTAGGTCAAGGTGGTTGTAGGTTCTGTTCAGGCCTCTGCATCCTCACTGATTTTCTGTGGAGTTGTTTTGTTGAAGCTGAAGTTCAAGAATCGATGTGGCTTGTCTGCTTCTCCTTTCAGTTCTACCAGGTTTTTCCTGCCATGTTTTGAAACTTTGTTGTTAGGTGCTTACGTGTTTAGGGTTTTTGCATCTTCTTAGAGAATGGACCCCATTGTCATTATGTAATGTCCCTCTTTATTCCTGGTAATATTTCTTGCTCTGGAATCTACTTTGTTTGATATTAATATAGCCATTACAACTTTATTTGATCAGTGTTTGTGTGTTATATTTTTCCATCTGTTTACTTTTAACCTATCTATGTTTTCATATTTAAAGTGGGGATTCTGATAGGTAGAGTATGGTTGGATCTTGCTTTTTTACCCAATTTTAGCATTTTAAAGAGATCTTTTGGATTACATAACTTCTAATTGGAAATCTGATGTAATTCTTATTTTTGTCTTCTGTATGGAATATGTTTTTTAAATCTGTATGCTTTCAAGATTTTCTCTTTACCTTTGGTTCTTGACAGTCATAGGTTTAATGTGATGTATCTACTCATTTTTTTAGAGGGGGGTGATATTTATCCTACTTGGGGTTCTCTGAGTTTTTAGGATATGTGGTTTTATGTATTTCATTATTTTTAGAAAATTTCTTTGCTATTATTTCTTCAGATATTTCTTCTGCTTTTCTCTCTCTCTCCTTTTTCTGTGACTTCAACTACATACATAAATGATGTTTTGACATTGCCTTAGAGCTCTTTGAAGTTTTGTTCTTGTTTATTTCCCCCACCATCTTTCTCTTTGTGTTTCAATTTGGACAGTTCTATTTACCAATCTTCAAATTTAATGATTCCATACTTTGCTGTTATCAAGAATACTGATGAGCCCACTGAAAGAATTTATCTTTGATATTGTATTATGACTTCCCCCACAGCTATTTGATTCTTTTTATAGTTTCCATCTCTCTGCTGAGATTCTCAATCTGTTCATATATGCTGTCCATATTTTACAGTTGATTTTTAAACATATGAATCATAGTTATTTTAAGGTTTATGTCAGACAGCTTCAACACCTGGGTCATTTTTGAGTCCAGTTTTGTTGATTTCTGTGTCTTTTGACAGTGGATTGGTTTTTCCTTTCTTTTTTGCATGTCTTGTAATTTCTTTTTTTTTTTTTTCCTTTTTGTCTTTTTTCGTGACCGGCATCGGATCGCAACCTTCAGTGTTGCGCCCGTACCGGACCGGGACCGGCCACGGGATCACAACCCTTGGTGTTACTCCCGCCCCTCGCTCAGCCAGTGAGCGGCCGGTCTGTATGTGGGATCCGAACCCTCAGTGGGAGCACCACTGCACTTCCCAAGTAGCGCACTATAGCAGTGCGCCACCGGGCCGGCCTTGTGTCTTGTAATTTCTGATTGAATATCAGACATCATGTATTAAACAGTTGAAATTGAGATAAACAATTTTTCCTTCTGGAAGTGGGTGTGTCTCTTCTGTCTGGTCATTAGTGTGTGTGTGATA